GCAAGTATATTATCTATTCCAGTGACGTTTAGAGTAGTCAGAGCCCTTCTTTAGGTGTAAATAAGAATCGTTTAAGACTTCTACTAAATGCAGCATGCTCTTCGCTTCTGTGTATTCCCTTTTCTGGGAAAAAGTTAGACATTGAGTGAATAAACCCTTCGCTTGAGTTATGGTTGGGGGTTGAGTTAAGAGAGACGTAGCTGCAGTACGACTGAAACTTATGCACGGTCGGCAGCTACTTAGGGCTGGTAACGGCGGCTTCTAATCACTTTTGTTTAGTGACACGGGTGAGTTGCAGGCTCAGCAAAGCACCGGATCTCAGGCGTCGTCAGCCGCATCAAAGTCAGGCCGCCCGAAGCGACTGCGCCGTCGTCTAAAAAATTTTGCCCTCAAACTCAAGGTATTGAACGTCACCAACCCCATATCTCCGGTACTGTTTTACGAACCTCTGAGAAAGTCTGTTCTTAATTATTCTTCTTTTGTTTTCCAGTTGATCAGCTGTCAGCTCGACACGTCGAAGCAAAGTATCAAGTTCCAGTTCTCTCGCGACAGCGATACCCCTGCGCAAATCGCTCAGGCATTTGTAAGTCTCATTCATATTTGGCCTGTTTTATGCTTACATTCCTTCAGTGGTCACTATTTCGTTAACATTCATAAGTAATTTCTGATCCTTTTGTTCTTATGAAGGACCGCGTTCTGTTTTCATAGTTTACTTGAATAGCAGTCATCCTACATATAGATAGTTAATAGCCTAGTTTATGACATAGAAGGACAATAACAGGCGTTTAGAAGGATGACTACATTAATGTACATTGACGTGTAAGTGTAATAATCATGTTAATCGTTCATGAAGCAATTCTCGATTGTAATTTTGCACATAGAGATGTAGAACTTAAATGCAAAACGATTTTAAACATAGTATTCTCTACCTGTTTCTTTACGGTATAACCCGTAAAGTCATCAACTAAAATCGTTTTCACTTCACTTCACTTTCCACGACTGCTTTTCCTTTCGGATCACTAATGCATACGCGTCAGACAGTTTCAAATC